CCCCCCCCCCGCGCCGGCGGGGGGGGGGGTCGGGCTGCCGTACGGGCTGGCCGGGTCTCTCCGGGCACCAACCGCTGTCTCAGAGTTAACGATGGCTTTGGACCATCCAGCCCGCTGCACCGCAGCCAGTCAGGAGAGCTCCCAAGACACTCCTAGCTGGGAAGGCACGATCGAGGAGATCCTTTGTCCCCACGCAAACAAAATCACCCTGGAATTTCCCGACAGTGAGCAAGGTCAAGCCAGCAGCTCATGGCATCCAAAGCAATCAGCAACTCCAGAAGCAGCGCTGCTTCAAGTTTACAGCCTGCAAAGAGTGCCAGACTTAGGAGGCGACCCATGCTCCACCAGCAGAAGTGAAAGATGGGAAGTTCTAAAGCATAAACACGCCGATTATTTCCTTTTTTTTAAATTTAAAAAAAAAAAAAAAAAAAAAAAAAAAAGAAAGAAGAAAGAAAAAACACCCTCCATTACTGGAAGCCTGAGTCAGAATTACCAGAAGGAAGCTGGACGGAAGAGCTATTTTCAGTGCCAACAAATCTGGAGAGCAGGTGAAACATCTCCACCTACAAATCTGAACTCAGCCTAAAAGTTTTTTCTTAGGGAAGAGAAAGGCCCCGATCTGCTGGAACGGCAGGGCACGCTTCTCTCCGTTCTAGCAGTGGGAAGTTAATGCAGGTCTGCTTTTGCATTGTGCAGTCTTCAAAGTATCAATCCCTGCTATCCCAACGCAGCAGCCTGGCTTTGGCACACAGCATTTCACCTTGGGTACCGCAAAGGAAGCGACAGAAACCTGGGTTGTTGGGAGCCCTGAAAAACTAACCGCAGAGCTGAGGATGTGCGGTGAGGGCCAGGAGCTATAGCTATAGCGGGCGATGTATCACCTTGCCCCACTGGTACAACTCCCTCCTTTCTCTATGCTTGCTCACCTCCTGGTTTAATTTTCTCCTTCCTCTATGCTACATATCTAAAAACATTAACGTAAGAGGCATGCGCAGCATACATGGGAACACTGGGATGTGAGCAGGGGAGAGACTCGGTCAGTAAAACTGCTGCAATTGCACACGCAGAGACTCAGTCTTACTCCATTTTTTTCCTCTTTGCGTTATTCTCCGTTTTGCTCCATCTTGCCGTCACTTCCACGGGAAAAGAAAGAGTCACATCCTGCTGACAAGCCAACTCCCCTCTGCACAAATTCATTCCCTATGCATCGAGCTAGGAGAAGGGTGTTCACATTTTCAAAGTGCGGTGGATGAGTTAGACAGAAAAAACTCCAGCAGCAGCTCACAAAATTTGCAGCTCCAGGCTTCGGAGGCAGGGCTTTGCCTTCCCAATCCTGAAAGCACTGCTAACTTGTGAGATGGCTGTGAGAAAACACAATGCATTACATGAACTATTTTTAAAAGCTATTTCGCAACTTCACTGCAAATGGAGTTGCTGTGTTTCTTCTGCTAACTTCTGCAAATATTTAACAGCGTAGTAGCCCTTCCCTCCATGCCCATTCCCGAAAGGATCAACAGAGCCAACGCGTGGTATAGGTCTCTTTCATGGACAACAGCTCTCTCCGCAGGGGCCCGTGAAGGCAGCCCTGCGCCCATCCATTTCCTCCTGATCACAAACACTCCGCCTGAAGCTTTGGCCCTGGGCACTTGAGATAAGGGCTACGCAGTGAGCCCGAAACATTCTGCCTTGCGCAGCCTCACCGCCATGCTTTTCTCTGCTTTTCTCCAGTTTTGCTCTGTCCCCCTTTCCGTACACCCATTTCCCCAGTGCTTAGTGACAGCGGATAGAGAGATAGGGGACAGCTAGAATACGGACACAGTCTTTTCCTCACCCTAACTCCAAATTGCTACAGGGCAGAAGACCGTTTATTTTCCTCTCTTTTTTAAAGAGGACGAGGTACAAGGCTGTTCGTATACCTGGGATCTGTATGGGGGTCTTGTGCAGGATGCCTCCAGCTTCACTTATAAGATGTCCATGCACGGAGCTGTTTAGAGATTGCTGTTTCTGCTCCGCCTGACTCTCCAAGGCTGAAATTCTGTCTCAGTAACTTAACTCCTGTCCTGGCAGGACAGTGCGAGGCTGGCCATTGCTCCAGGGTAAAAGCTGACTATGCAGCCCACTGGATGCACTGCATCCAAACGGATGAGGACTGAGCTCACCTGGGTTACGTAGGGTGCAACGTGACCAACGTCCAGTTCCGTACCGTGGCTTAGTAACTGCTCTGGCTACTCAAAAGTCAAAATTCCTGCATCTTTATGGAAAATGATGGTTGCGTAACGATGTGGGAAGGGGCAGGGAAAGGTTATCTGAATTGCTTGTATATTGGTGCCGGATACCAGCAAAGTCTCTGTCCTGTACTGGATGTTACAGTAAGGAACCGTTCCTCCATCACTGCCTCGAGCTTTTGCCACAGATCGCTTGTTTGCCTCCTTTAACAACAACACAAAAAGCATATTTGAAATTCAGGTAAGAAACCAGTTGCCAGTCAGGCTCACAACCCGTTTACCTCGTGCCCTGTGAGTTACCACCTCCCATGCAAAAATGAAACTGAAATCTCCTGACTCTAAGGTTCTTAACTGACACCTCGTCACGAAAGGTCAAACGCAGTAAAAATAAAAACACAAGAAAAGCAACCAAAACCCGCCCCAACCACCTCTGTATTCTGAAAACACAGATAAGGCAATGTTTAGAACAGCTAGAGATTCTTTTCAAAAGGAAGTCATTTATAAATGGAATTCCAAGGAGTTAATTGGCCTTATCTGAACCTAAGTGCTCAGCAGGACAGCAAGGGGCGAGGGGCGGACGTGAAGAACGGCATGCAACAGGACCGGAGATGGCTGCTCTGCAGCGGCCAGACGAGTTGGTCTCACACTTCGGTGACACATATTTGTTTCGCACTTGCATTCTTTGGGCTGATTTTAGAACAGCTTTTCCCAGTAAGTTTTTTGCTTTATGCTCCACTCACAAAACTACAGGCTTTTTTAGGCATGGAGTATCTCGACCAGAGTTCACAGGTTTAGAAACAGGACACCACAGAACTATTTCTGTAGTGATTTAGGCTGCTGCGTAAAAACCCAATAATAACAGGAGGCTGGGAGTAGTAAGGCAGATGCCTTCTCTTGTCTTGGGGGATGTATCCGTTTTCCACCTCTTTTAACCATCCCGTTTACAAGCCTGTGATGTCTTCAGCCATTTCTTTGGTTCAAATAGCTCAGCTCTCTCCTCCTGCTGTCTCAAACTTCAAGTTCAAACTGGCCCAAAGTTACCGGACTGCGTGTGGCTTGCCTGTGCAGCCCTCGCTGCCAGCGCGGCGGCGCGGCCCTTGATCTCTTACACATTTATCCAGGGGAAGGAGGGTGGTGGTATTCTCTGCCTCCAATTACAGAGACGCAGAAGGCCAAGCAGGCGCTGTAAAGGTCTGTAAAGGTGATCAAATCTCACTGATTTCAGCAAGAGCTCAGGTGTCTGATTTGAGGATCTGCATTAATGGCCTAAGAGATCACCGAAAGTCTAAGGCAGACAGGAGCTTTGACTACCCAAGTGCCAGGCCAGGACCCTTGCCACCAAGCCACACTCCTTCAACGCCAACCTGCCACTGAGCCACGCAGCAGCATCACTTCACAGCAGAACTGCTGCTGAGACTCTAATTTCCAAGCTGTGACAGCCAGCGTTCATCACAGAAACAGAGTCAGACACGCTATGAACTGCAAAATGCAGCCTCTAAGAACACGACAGAACCTCAAAATACAACAGTGACTAAAGCACAGGCATGCCAGATTGCCTTCTGGGGCGTTCGCGCTGAATGTTTTTCCCCCACAGTCTTCATAAGACAATGACCTACCAAGGAAACCCACTGCACGCTGGGCATCCACTGCGAGAGCCCAGACCTACAGATTCAGCAGATGCGTATGGTATCAGTTCCACCAACAACCAAAGCTGGTGGCTACTTGCAGTGACTGATACCAGGTTGCACAATAGTGAGTAATCAATCCCAAAAGCGGAGGGAAAACAGATGGCAGAAGGCTGGTAAAAATGCACAGAACCACATGTTGCTGTGGGACTGACGGGAGATCACACGCCCAGGAAAGCCCAGGGATGTAAAAGCTTGCAGGGACTTGGACTCACAAAGTAAACACAAATGGTTAGTCTTCAGTTGAGACAGAGTTTGGTTTTTAGTCATTGTTACTAAAATATTTGCCATGGAGAATAAACAAATGGTGGCGGGGGCTGCTGGGGACAGTTAATGATCTGCCTCAGGGTGTTCTTCCTTGAGTCCATCTCTGCAGCACTCCCGAGCGCCCAGTCGCAGGCCGCTCTGGACCTGCTGACTGTTTTAGGGCTACATCGTCCTCATGGTACATCTACCTGCCACAGCCATCAGAAGAGCGAGCTAGTGCCTGCACCATGCTCTGACAGAGTGCACGCATCCCTTTGAGGGTGTCCAGGTTCTCTCCTGCTCCCAGGAGACTAAAGGATGTGTAACCACTGCACCCTCAAGTGAGGTTGGTAATAGCGAGACCACACCATCACACTGCAACTTCACCCCTGCAGGGAACTGGGTGTTTCTCAATTTCTTGGTGGAAACACCATGGGATGAAGCCTGAGGTATTTACTGTCTGATAGGCAGGATGGAAGAGGAGCAGCCCATACCTCTATTTGGTTCTGCTGCGGCGTGTTTACATCCCATAGTGTTGGCACGTGGTTCAAACTATCGGCAGGCAAGAAGTCCTTTGGATCCGCAATGTCAGAGAGGGAATCCGCAGGGGACGAGAAGAGGGAGTTGTTGTTGGAGAGCTCATCGAGGTATGAAGAGTCCTGAAACGGAGAAATGACCACAGTTAGAGGACACGGGATGAGAAGACCAGAGAGCTCCTTTCTCACACCTACTCATCCAGGAAGTTTTCATTCCTCCCTATCAAATGAGCAGTTCCATTGCTTCATGCTCCATAAAACTTCAACATTAACCTGCACATAAGGACACGCTCCAAGCAGCTGGTTTAAAATCTCAGTTTCCTGATAAAACAGGAAAAGCACCGGCTGGACAGAAGTGCCGGTACACGGTCAAGACCAACTCAGACTCTGCGCATCTCCACATACGGGAGTGGGAGAAAGAGGAATGCTGAACAAGGCATCAGTCACCTCAACTTTGTAGTTGATTCAAAAGCTTGCCGAGGGGTGCGCAGTCCCCAGCCTGATACCCGAAGTACTCCATGCCCGCACAGAAGCCCGGAGCTCCAGCTACACCTGATAATGACACAGCTGTTTAATTGCAATTTATAGCATGGCAATACCTGGAGGCTTTGGAAAAACTGAGTCTCCTCGTGCCAGGTTCTGCAAAAGGAGGCTGGTAAGTCTACCAATCCCTTTCCCAAGGGCACGCCTCGGTCCAGGCAAGAAGGGAATGTGCTTCAGTGACGAGGATCAGGCTCTGCCCTTGCTCTTTATCTGGCGCCTCTGCTTGAGACGGCTTGCAATTGTTTTATTTTGTGCCAACCCAATGATGACGGTGGTTTGAGTCACGCAGACTTTAGCTCAGAAAGAGCCACCAGTCCCCTCCCTACCACCAACTGCTTGTCTGGTTTGGCAAATTTCAGAGGGCAAGAACCCATAGCCCAAAAGCACTTCTTACTCTACCTCCTCAGCTCTGGCACAGACCACCGCACCTTCCCTGACGCCATCACATCTCCTTCCACATCAAATACCACTTTCAAACCTTTTCAAAGCAGAAAAACTGTGTCTGTTGTTTACTGAAGAGCAACACACTTCGAAACACCGAGCACCAGCACACAGGTCCTGCTGGAGACGTGTCCCTGTCCCCAAGGGATATGCTGACAGGCCAACGGGTCTTTCTTGGTGCCCCAAGGACACTGCCAACACAGAGGAGTTCTGCGGCTCTTTACCAGGGTCTGGGCTGTCAGCACACAGCCAGCTCAAGCTCTCCGCTGGGTCAGATAACAAAATGAGTGTGACAATACCGCAGCACGGCTGCCAGGAGAGCCGCAGCGTCTGATATGAGGAGAAATCGCTGTTCATTTCCAGTTAAGGGCCAATTTCCTACTACAAGGCAGAAAGGCAGCCAAAGATTTTTTAAAAGTCACTTAGCCCTGCCTGACATAAGATCATGAACAGCTGAGCCTGCCTGAGCTATTCCTAAGGGCTTCAGGCCAAGACTTGGGTCAGGCTCCCCCAAATTGCTATAAAAAGTTATGGTTTTGCAGTGTTTAAAACCACTGGGGCATGTTCCCTTCACCCTCTTCCCAGATACGTCCTCTGTGGCACCCAAGACGACAGTCACTACTCCGAAGCCGCAGGCGCCGGCAGTGGTGCGAGGGCACCAAGGCACTGAATTGAAGGCCAGCGGTGACAGAGGCCGCAGGCACGATGTCTGAAGCTTGTATTCGCCGAAAACCAAGCAGGGGGACCCGAAGGCTCAAGGTGAAGGGGCTGTTTGCTAGGCTGTGCTCCCAGGGATGCAGGAGCACCGGGAACTTGCTGTCAGCCCAGCAGCCGATGGGCAGCGTTTCCCATGCAGCTCTTGCTCTTGATATTTCTGTGGCTATTTTAGGATTACTCAGAAACCCAGGCTTTTCAGATACTAAAGCAGGCACCTCGATTTATCATCTCGGAATTAGGTGATGGCTGGAAACGGGGCTGTGTTTCACACTCAAGAAAGCAGGAGAACACTTGGGTGAATCTGGGGTTTCTTGGCCAGAGCAAGCGCCTTGTGCATCCCACAGGAACCTGCCTGTCTGCTCCCACAGCCTGGAGCTCCTGAGCTAGAGCACTGTACGGGCAGCGTACGTGGGATTCAAGCTAACAATGTTCATGCTATTGAGAAATTTTTTTCCCATTAACTCCCACCTCCCAAGGTCCGTAGCCCCTCTCAACCTTCCAGTCCCCTGCAGAGACACTTGCCGACTGCCTTGAACCTGTGCTGCTGAACACAAGCCATCACCTCCCCTTCCTGCCCTCACCACCCCTCTGCTTCCTCCTCCACACTCAAAATCCCAAGAACGAGTGCTGCAGGAGTTCGACAGCCTCTGGTGTGTCACCACGACCTGCGTTCCTGTGCTCCCACACCTCTGCAGATCCAACCGGGACGTGGGTAAAGCAGAGAGCATCGACATCTGGGCTGAGGAAGAGAGGTAACATCACCTAATGCTACTCCCTTGTATTACACCTGGTATAAAACAGTTCAGGGCGATTTTGCAGCAACTCTTCCGACCATTCCAAGAAAGGAGTGGGAGAGAGACGGGCAGGCAGATGGACTGCTCCTTCACCCGTCTGCTCTGGTGCCAGATACACAGGCCTGGCGCAGCAGAGGACCCAAAGCAGCTGGAAACTCCACTTAGGGTGTCTGACGGTCCAGATACTACAGAGGAGAAATACCGAGCGATACCAAGAGGCTCATAAGAATTGCTCTGAAGTTTCTCAAGGCAACAGCTATTATCTTCTTTGAGTACCCACCACCACACAGCGACACAAACAGCTCCCGAGACGGACCTGGAACTACAACAGTCCCACTCAAAATCCATGACAGTACAAGTGCTTTGTCCACAGGCAGTGAAGAGAGGCTGGGCAAGCAGCCGGACCCGAGCCGAGACCCTGAATGCAAAACTAAAAAACATGCACCTCGGGCCTGGCCACCTCACACAATCTTCGGCAGGCAGGAGGAAGGGCGGGAGCTCGCTCCCAACAAGCCCTCAGAGCTCAGCTCATGCGAGGAGGTGCCAGAACTAGATCCTATTCACAACAAGCAAGAGGAGCCATCATCATCCTTGACATGAAATCTAAAAGATGAAAGAGGAGACGCACGTCTTTCCTCTCTCAAGGGCAGGCAGGCCTGGGAGATACCATGCTACAGGCAAGAAAGAGCTAAACCAAAAGGTTGGAGTTGCAAGGCAAACCCAGCTTTATTTAGCCAGGGGGGTGTTGTTTTTTCTTTTCATTATGAAAAACTTTGCCACGTGGATCCACTCTGGCTCTTAACTGACAGCATTTCACTCAAGGGCTTCACCACCCCGGGACAGCGGCAGCCACATGTCAAGGAGTTGGGTGGTCTCAAATCCCCCCCGGTCTCATCGCTGAGCTATGGCGAGACGCTTCTGTGCAGGTCTTCCTCATTTGCAAATACCACTGGCAGAAGTTGGTTCAGGAGGAAACATCTGCAAGCAATAGGCATGGCAACAAGAAGGCCATGGAGCACACTAGAGCGGCCACTGCCCGTTAGGGTCCTGAAGAGAGGAACATGCCGGGCTGGAATAGCAACGGCACGTCTGAAGGCACTGCAACACAACCGGAGATACCGCAGCAAGCGCCCTCCACCTTCCTGACCCCCAGCGAAGGCTCCAGCCCCACCATCTCCACCACCACTCCCTCTGCCTGGGGCACTGGACTGAGAAGGGGAAGAGGAAATCAGCCTCCAGGTCAGAGGGAGGATAATATTAGTCCTGGAAAGGACTTCAGCGAGCCCATCCTTTTGCAGTGTTACAAGGTGTCGGTCACAGACGTTCAGAGCCTCCCGTTTGTCTTCCCCAATTACATTATCTAAAGAGCACTAAAACTAGTAACATGGTAGATCCCCGCCCTGAGGAGCTCACAGTGCAACCCCAGCGAATTAGACTTCTTTATATACAAAATGCAGTGTAATTGCTTAATGCAAGGCCACGCTGATAACTGCGACCTGTGTCATTATAAACCATGCCTTGACTAATTACTCCACCGGTTTACACGGAGCAAACAGAAGCAGCTACTTTAGTCTCCTCGAGGGAAAGGGAGGACCATCGCCTAAACCATCAGCTCATGAAATAACAGAGCAAGCAAAAGGACTCCTTTCCTCATCGGGATAAAGCCACTGTCAGCCCCACTGCAACTGGTTACAACTGATCCCAGCCAGAAGAGACCCTTGGCCAGAAGGATCCGAGCCCCCAACACAGACAGAAGCAGCAGAAAAGGAGATGAAGACCTTGGGGTAGGAGAGATGGCCCAAGAAACCACGAAGAGGGAGGCGGTTACAGGTGCAGCAAGCGCTGGGAAGGGGCGATGAGCCAAACGGAGGACCGCAAAGCCAGCTCCCAGACCTGGAAAGCGCTGCTGCTGCTTCCCAAATGGTCCGACACGCTTGAGAAATCGCTTGAGAGCTCACCAGTCTCAGTCATCAGGATTTGAAGCGAGTTATTTTGTCCCTGTTTATGACTGATTAACAAGAATTTTAAAATCGTCTCATTGGAAATGAGGTTTTACAGTAACCGCACTTATTTTACGTTTCAGTGCAAGTCCAATTTCTGCAGCAAATGGAAGTTCCTCCACAAGGCAGGATCCTTACTTCAAATGCTCTTCTGCAACCGTTCTCTACGACGTTCTTATTTCTGGAATTAGACTATTTGTTTGGGGGGTGGGGTGGGGTTGCAGACTTTTGGGTTTCCCCCCCCCTCCAATTTAGCACAGCCTGCAGCCAAAATGCAGACAGCACACTGCAGACCATCGCTGGTAGGAGAATTTTGCCGCCGAGGGCTGGCGGACCTGCTCTGCCTCCATCAGCCTGCTTCATCAAACACTCCCCTGGCCAGGACAGCGAGCGCCTGGGTGAAACGCTGGCTTGAAGATCTCGACCCCGACCGCTGTGTTTCACGGCACAGACTTTTCCCAGTCTCTCCCATTACAGGACGGACACAGGGACCTTGAAGCCTGCTGTGAGAACACCGTTCAGAACGAATCGCTCGAGCCAGAGATGAAGTCGATAGAAGCCCCCTACAAAATGGCAAAAGGGCGATTCCTTTGCAGCAGGGTGACCGCTTAATGAAGATTTTGATAAG